ACCGACCTCTAAAAATGTGTTTAAATTTCAGACAACAATTTTTTTATTTTTCAAATATATTTAAATGTGCTGACATTCTTGAACGATTACGTTAAATGCCAAAAGGTCGTACCATTTCTGGATCGCTATCTAATAAATTTTATCTTTTAATCATTTATTTATCTCGTAGATTTAAGCCCATTTTATGTTTTGTATTACGGTGTAGTTATTACTTCGTCTTAGCCTGTTGCTCTTCTCATCACCCAGTGTAAGCTTTTACCAGAAATCACGTAAAATGTTGTACTGTATTTCTCTAATTTTACCCACAAAGCTTATATTATAATTATTTAGGCATTTTCACTATTTTGCAAATCCTCTGAGACGTTCTATATTTTATATTTGATCATGACGACATGAACATTTTACTCTAAAAACCATCGATTCATCAAAGCATTGTTAATAGTAAAAGTATATGGAAGATAATATGAAGAACCTGTGAGTGTGACTTTCACCGGTAATAGACTCTCTTAACTTTAGCCGCACATTTATTCGATTATTTAAATAATACTGAGTGTTAGTATTCATTCGTCGCAGATGGTTTCTACGGGGCAAGAGGGGGACTCTGATAAGACCTAGGGAAGGACGACTGCGTAAAAATATGACAAACTCTGTTTAACATTCCTAGCACAAGGGTGAGAACGAAGGTGTGGAGTGTGGAGGGTTCTCATGAAAGCCGCCCAAAAGGACATACCACACTAGATTTAAATAATCAAGGAAAAAATTTGTGATAGTGGAGGCGTGATACGAGAATATAGGAGAGATGAATAGCCCAGGACAAAAGGATAGATATCACAACTGTTTAGCACACGTTTGGTCAAAGGATCGGCTTCACTTGTTTCTTTGATGAGTTGTAGTGCGGTGCTAAGAATGACAAGACTCACTGAGGTTGTCAACCACGATGCCGGCAAAACTTCTGGGAATGTACCGCGCCCACAGTCCGACTTTGGACATTATCATACATACAATGGACTCCAGACTAGATGTGTTCCTCTAAATCTTCGTACCAATTTGACCAAGTTGCGAAAACAAGGTCAAACAACTTCTATACAAAGAAAGGAGACTGCGAGCACACAAGAGGCCACACCATCTTGGTCTTCATACCTTAGATCAGAATGCCTTGGTTTAATCCCCTGAAAAATTTCAAAGGACAGACAAACTAATGAAGATCATATTGGGTGCGAATAATCACACAAATAATTGATCTATATTTTTATGGGAATCATTTTAAAGTGGTCTAATGTTTTTTTTGACTAATCAAGCCAAATGCATTATTTGAGGAATTAGAGAATAGTAACCTAGATTAGCCTGGAGAGAAACGACGTTCATCTTACGATAAACCTACTAAGTTTATGATATAAAAGTTGTAGACTCAGCTAGTATGATATAGTGTGTTCGAATCTTGCTAAATTGCTGAGGCGGCGGTAGATGAGGCTATGAGAATCTCCATTAGTAGCACTCGGAAGTATAAAATTCATTGGCAAAATTGGACGCTCTTTTCCAAATATCGTACACATTTAAGTTCCTTTACATCAAAAACGCAATTAGAAATCTAAATTTCATCTTAAATATATACTCTTTTACAGCTTAGGCTCCGAGTTAAAATTATTTCTAGCTCTTTTTGGCTTTCTCTATGGAATTACTTGCTTTTTTCCTACACATCTTTAATCCTACTCTAATACCCACTATATTCTCAGGTATAGTGATAATACCTGGAAATTTTTCACGCTAAATCCAGGTGACAGTTAAATTATGATGATCGCCTATAAGTTATTGCGCTTATGCAGAGAAGCTTTATTGCGATTTTTAAGATTGTATAGGGCTCTAAAATGTACAACATGCATATATTTATTTCGCTCCCTTGTTAGCTTAGTTCTGAACCCACTACGGCTAATCCTGAAAATTATTCCGATTTTCAAAGTCCATGTTTAATGTGAAGTCTCTTTTTAAAAAGCCTTAGTTTATCTGAACTAGTTATTTCTCTTAGTCACGTCGTATATAGATCTCCCATATATATCTTGCCAAAATATGGTAACAATGCTTCACTATAAAAGGAAACAAATCCTTTGTTAATTATAATGTTTCATACTACTATCGATATTCGATTTAATTTACCAAGACAACTCAGTTATTTGTTGATTGGTGTATGGTTATTGTCGTACGAGATGATAACATACCATTTGCAATTATCATGCTGCATAAGATCTCTTTTGCCCTCCTATAAATGTCAAGCTTAGCTAAGCATTATTATGAATATGATAACAAACAATATATTTCCAATCTATTGCTTTAACTGTTTAACATTTAGCCCTTGAGCTAAATACTTTTAATACTCCATCCTATCTACCGAGTTTCTTATTCTTCATTAATTGTTGCCGAGGCTATTGGCTTATGACGCAAGATAACTTGGAAATTGAAAATAAACTCTCTTAATCAGACTTAATAAATCTCCTAAATTTATACCACCATCCTGAATATTGTCCTGGAAAATATGAGCTTGATCTCAATTAAAAAGAGCTTTCACATCATGAACACCTTTAACGACTGACAAAGGTTGTATATGAATCTGGAATCAGATTTTTTGTATTCTTATAATTCTCATGTAGGGTACACATATGGAAGCCTAAATTTTATTCCCCTTTTAACTCTATAACTTTTCTCCTATTTCACCCCCATAATCACGCTCTAGCAGTAATTTCATAATCATAACCATATTAGCCCAAGTATTCTTAATAAATACATCTGGGCGGTAGATTTAAGCAAAATTACCTCTTATGAATGGTCGGAGCCAAATACGTTTATTGAGTCCTGATAAATTTCCCTGACCCTTGCATCCTGCTATATAAAGTGATTATGGAAGCATATTTTAATAAGGTCTAAATTCATACACAAAATCTCTTGAAAAGTTTTTGCTGTGGCATAGTTCAGAGTTATTGTTGAAACGTGAGAAGGCAATTTTCCGACTATCTTTCTCTGTTTTGTGTTAAATTTAGCTATATTTGTTAGCCTACTATCTCTATTTAATTCTTCAGAAAAATCGCTTTCTAGCAGTCGTAATGTCATTGAATCCTTTTTTCAAGGCCATTATCTTCATTTTGTAAATAATATAGTGAAAGCAAGTGAAAATCGGCCACAAGCTTTTCATTTGTAAAGATTGTGCATGATGCTGACATCTAGCAATCTGATTTGAGCGAAAAAATTGGCTTTTGATGCTACGGTAGTGTTGAACTTTCGTTTACTTTTATCTATTCAGATATCATGACAGGTGATATCATATTTTGAAGCATCTACATTTCATATCTGAAAGAAATACTGGTTAGATATTTTCACTTATCAATTATTAATTAAAAAATCTCTCCAGTTACGATAATGTCATTTAGAGCGTTGACCCATGCATTGCGCTGCTCTTCAGTGGTCACCGAGAAGCCATAATCGCGAGCCGGCGTACGCAGAGTAAAGTAGAATTTATTCACGTTCCTTCGGCCCGACGGTGTATAATCCAAGAGAACAGCAACACTTTGATTTGGTCGCCTAATCTGTATATAACCACTTGTGTATGGGGAAGACGGCTGCTCCATGTAGAGAAAGTTGTAACCAACAAGCATGCACCAGCGTTTTCTCCATAAGTCTGTTGACTTTGGGCCTGACTTTTCCAGCCAGCCCGAAATCGTTACATCATTGGTAACATTGCCTATCAGCTGATCCTGACTACCAACATGACACTTTGCATTACGTATGGCATTATACCATTCTACCATCAGGCCTCGTATGGGAGAAGAGATAAATATGAAGCGAAATGCATCATTCTTTAAAAAGGAGAACATCAAACACACATCTGCTGGAGCGTCTAAGTCAACAGAATCGATCCAAGCGACGTCTATGTCTTTAACTTTTATAGTGGATTTCGGCTCTGTATCACCAGGCTGTATGAAATATTTCATTTCACCATGATTGAACCACAATTCAAAGCGTCTTTCCACAAATTTATTAGTTTTCTTAAGTTTCTTGTAAAGTGTTACGGATTTTGTTGGACCAGAGTAGCGCCACTGGCGTCCGTGTAGAGCAGCGTCTTCCATAAACTCCTCAAAGTCATACTTTGATTCTACAAAGGCCGAGCGAATGGCATGTGGGCAACGTAGACCTGGCCATGGTCTTCTGTAGAAATGTGGCAATTCTGGCTCCAAGCGTTCGTTGATTTTCTTATTACCGCCGAGTAAAGCAATTGACTTCAGAAGGGCAGGATCCCAGGAAAATTCATTAGAACACGAAAATCGGCTGAACTCCTGATCGCCCACCTGACACGGTAGGCCAGAATCAATTCTGACCAGCGCATGGCCGAGTTCTGCATGGGCACCTGCACAAGAAAGAATCTAAAGTGTCAATTGAACAAAGCTGAAACGAAATTTTCCCATTTAGTGTTTTTCCGAAAGCTGATAAAATACTTGGTGAATCTTTGCCCATTGGTAGGGGGGATATTGAAGACTCAGGATAAATCTGAGACACTCAGTCTTAATAGCTAAAATAATTTTGCTATAACTAAACGCACCGTAAAGTATCCATGCCAAATGCTTGGTTGATCGAGAGCAAGGTCTATGAGGTGTAACACTTTCGGTCGGTTTATTTTTGGACCGATGGTGAGACTTCCTATGCAGAATTGACGAGAATGCTTGATTTTCCATACAATTTCACTCTTGTATGCATCCTAAAAGGCTGTTCTCATCTTCAACCCCCACCATATTTGCATTCCAGCCCTATTGTCGTATTGGTAACCCCTTCAGGACTTGAACCATGGAAGTGAGGGTTAAAAGGGAAACCTGGGTTACACTTATCTAACCACGCCGTGCTAGACAAAGTGATGTGCATCGAAAAGGGCTTATGCTGCATTGTAAGTCATGCTTGTCGATTAACTCAATAAGGATATTGCATTCTGGTCTAAATACCTACATATTGGCCTCTCAGCCGTGACATCCACGGCTCAAATCGCGCCGTGGATGCTGATGAGATACGGTCAAGCTCGAGAGCACACTCCGGCCCGGAGGGTAACAGCTCTCAGGAATTCAAAAAGTCTCTCAAATTTATCGAGGATAGCATTGCTATCAGACCGATTAGAAAACTAGCAAAGCTGGTAGACTTTGACAAAACTCAGTCTTGGGATATACTCGAAATAAATGCATTTATTTACTGGATTAAAATATTTGTATAGTAACGAATTTTCAGCAATGATATATTTAAATTCTCACTAATTTATGGCATATTTCGTGACAAATTTCTATTTCTCTGAGGCATTAGGGTTCATAAGGATAGAAAGACATATTTATTTAGAGTTACCAACGTCTGTAACTTGGATTCATTAAATAGAAGTTGTTTGACCTTGTTTTCGCAACATAGTCATATTGGTAGAAGGACTTAGAGGAACGCAACCAGTCCGGAATCCATTGTCTGCATGATCATTTCCGAAGTCGATCCGTGGACGTGGTACATTCCAAAACGTTTCGCCGGCATCGTCAGTGAGTCTAGCCATTCTTAGCACCACACAACAACTCGTCAAAGAGACAAGTGAAGCCGATCCTTTGACCAAACGTGTGCTGCTGAAAATTGTAGATTCTCCTCTTCTGCCCTGAGTTATTCGCGTTTCCGGTAGCATCCTATCATGCCTTCACAATTACAACTTTTAACGTGTTTATTTAGATATAGCGTGGTGTGCTCCTTTTAGCGACATGACACCTTCACACTCCAACTCTCGTTCTCACCCCCCCCCCTTCATCCTTGTTCAGGGAATGTTGATCAGAGTCTGCTTTA